GGAAACAAAGTGTACCTGCATTTTTTTCCTGCTATCATGCTATAGAGATTATTTCTACAAAATTAACTTCATCTGTGCAGCTGCTCAGCTCTGCCACAGCTCAGCCTGCAGCTCCTCAGTTCCAAAGAGGAGAGGCACCTTCTCCCGCACTGCAAAATGCCTGATGGTAAATATTTTTTCCTTACTGTGATTTTGGCCACAGTTATGATCATACAAAGAAGGTACTTACCACAGTGAAGGAATCTTCATTCTGAGCAACCAGAAATACTGCCTTCCTCTGTATTTTGCTATATGGCTATTAGGAGAGAAGTACTAAAACACTTCCTTGTATTTTATTTGAAATAAAATAATATCTGGTATTTTTGTAGTCATCAGCTGAGTGTACTGAAACAGTTTTTAAATAGCTGCTGTCAAAACAGACTGATTGTTGGAGTCAAACAGCCAAAGTTCTACAGCTCAACAGTAAGTCTGCTTTTATTGATTGGCATCAGTGTTCACAGTATGGTGCTCAAAGACGAAGTGGAAAGCAGTAAGGTAGCAATCCTCTAAGGCCCATTCTTCTTCCACATATTATATTGATGGTCATTTAACATGATAACCTATTACGAACTGGGAAACTGAATTGCAACTCACTAACTAAATACACACACTCAGCATGCTACCCCTCAGGAAAGCATTGCCTAACGAGATGTTAATATAATTTCCTGTTAAAAGCTGCTGGAAAATTGTCTCTCAGTACTAATTTGACAGAGAAAAGATGGGTAAAATTACATGTGTTTTTATTTAATATATACTATATATATAGGGCTTTCATTTTTCCATATTTTACATGTATTTCCTTATGTAACATAGAGAAAAACCAGAGGAAACACAATTTTTTCCCATTTTACACATTTTCTTTTCAAATTGTGCTTGACCTAATAATGTAAATATAAAATGCCATGAGTTGGGCAGCTGAAAAACTACTATTAACAACCAGACTGTGTAATGAGATAGATGATAGGAGGAGAATTGCAACAATGCTGGTACTGGCAATATAACTATACAGGTACTACCTAAAGTGTACAAGGAATGGGGTGACATGGGTTTCTTCCTCCTTCCCCCCACCCTTTATTTAAAAAGTAAAACTTGTTCCTGTGCTTGGACATAAGCCTTTGCATTTCATGGATTAGCTGAATGAAGTGAGAGCAGATGCTTTGTGAAGCAGCAAAAGACACTAACCCATGAATGCAGCAGTGAGATTTCCTTGAGCTGTGTGTGCTTTTGTATTGGCAACCATGTTCAGCTGTGACTGCAGGCACTTTGGTATCCCACAACTGTATGTAGAAGCTAACTACAGGTCTGTACTGCAGCTTAATAACACACAGCACATATGACAAGACAGCAGTGTGTAATTAAGGATACAGTGTGGAACGTTTATCACCTTGCAAGCACTTTGGGGTATGGCTCATAGTGACAAATGCCAATTCTAGGGTCACAGAAAATAAGCAAACACATCTCTCAGAGATATGGGGCAAATCTGAAGAGAAGCTGAGATGAACTACTTGACTATTCTTTTTGTATGTTAAACTCTTTCCCTTTTCACAGTAGCCGTAAGGCACAGTATTTCAATGTTAGAGTCATCTTTTGCTGTCCAAAATTAGAACTCCTTCCGAAGTTTGTCTTACTTGTCTGAAAGTTTGCCTTCAACATCAAATAAGATCTGAAAAATGTGTCCACTTTGATGCTGTTTCAGGAATTCTAGGAACTGGCCAAGATCCATGTGGTAGTCATTCCTCAGGCCATAATCACCATGTGCCTGAAACTGTAGGTCTTCGAAAGCACGAAAGAGACGAAGATCATCGATGCTTCCCTCTGTTTCTATGTTCTCCACATGCTTGCATGAGATATGCTTCCAGTTGGGATACCTAATAACCCGCCAGAACTCTTCACAGTGTTCTCGGAGTCCCTCCACACAGATGACACCAGGTTTCCCTGTCAGGCAGAAGCCAGTCAGATTTAATTTCTTTGCACAGTCAAAAATCTTTTTCCTCAGTTCCTGCCTATATATATGATGGCTGTAGATCCACATACGACGCAACGTTTCTTTAGCTGCCACTTTTTCTGAGGCACTTTTAGAAGAGATCTTGCTGTTTTCCAAGTAAGGCAGGCTGTTGTCTTTCAGCCACTGCACAGCTTCACATATACACAGTTCACCTGAATCCAACGAGCTCATATGAGAAGTGAGATGAGTGTTGAGCTCCAGCTGTTGCTGTCTATGCAGCGCATCTGATCTTGCGAAAAGCTGAGGAGCTACATGAGGGTACGTACGAGGCAGCAGTACCTGCAGTTCCACTTTTCCCTTAAAAACAGAACACGCACACACACAAAAGTAATATTTATTCTGCATCTACTGAAAGGCATGTTAGATTCTTTGTCCCTGTCAAAAGCAAGTTACAAGGAGATGTAATTAAGATTGCAGTATCCTTATGACTGGAATTATGTCCACTTTCCTTTTGTCCCTATAACATATTTTTTGTCTGCTCCTTTTCTTTTGTTGCACCATGTTGTGACTTTCCCAATGTACCTAATGATATCAAGGCTGCTCTCTTCTGCTGTTTAGAGGTACTGCTGGAAAGAAGGCACACAGTTACCTTCTAGGGATATTTCTAGTGCACGTACTCAGTATGTGCTCAGTGCTGCTACAGGAATAAACGACAAGTCTCTCAGTCAAGGGGCGAGTGGCTTCTGAGAACCTTGTCCCTTAACAAACACACAGCTGCCCAACAAACTCACCCAACTCCCGGGATCTACACCAGGAAAACAAGGCCAAGAGTTATATGAGAGAGTGTTTATGATTAGAGACACATGGCAAGGGGCTTGGAATTAGATGAGCTTTAAAATCCTTTCCAACCCAAACCATTCTACGATTCCGTGCATTGTTACCATTATTTTAGGCAAGCATTCAGCCTAACAGAGGAAGCATTCTCAGGATTATAGGGGTAAGAAGATTTACATGCATTTTAGGACAGGGAAACCTCTAGATTGGGTAAAATAATCTCCTACAAGCCCTGCGCTTTGAATTTCTCTTGATATTCCTACAGCGCCTTAAAATGGAGCACCTCAGTTCTTTGGCAACCAAGCCCCGCCTCTTGGCCAAGAGCAAGAGAGGATTCACAAGTCCTCAGTGCTTGGGGCACCCAGGTACTACCATTAGGGGACCTTCACTACAGTATACATCATATGATTAGTCCTGCAGAGGAGAGAAGTGGATCGTGAAATGACCAATTACCTTTCCATGTTCCTTGACAATCTGCCATGGTAAAAAAATTCTTCCTGCACAAGCCCTCCCTGCACAGTTCATAAAACCTCTCTCTGAAGGCCGGTCAAAGGGTGTGTTTTAAAGAGAGACCTAAGCTTGTACTTGAGTTTCCAAATAATCATGAAGTTGCATCATTATCCAGTAAATTGTTCTGATGTTTAGTTGTCCTTACTCTGAGAAAAATGGCTTCTAGACTGTGTTTGTCTTTTCAATTTCCAGTTACTGCAGCATTAGCCACTCAGACCTAAGTTCTCTATGCAAGTATTTGCATCAGTTCATTGTCATATATGACCTTTTCTTGAAGCAGATAAGTTACTGGAACTCCTTTATGCAGTAAGTTTTGTTTCCCTATTCACAGGCTGGCTTTCTTTTAGTGTGTGACTCTTCCTAATAGTATTCCGCCATTTGGGGCTATTTTTAACATTACCATATTTCAGATACAGACCAATGAATTTCAGTACATGTGGCAAGAGGTCAAAGAGAGAACTACTAGGGCAATTTTCCTAGAATAATATAAAGTCCAACATATGTGTTAACACAGGGGCAGCACTGCCTTTGTAACACACAACTCTTTGTAAACCAGTAAACCAACCATCCTGATACAACCCTAGCTAAACTCTTGTCAATCCTTCACATACCACTGCTGTTGGTTGCCTATTCCTATCTGTGATTCTATCAGCCTTTCTTGCCCAAAGGAAGTTCGGACTCAAATAAATGATAAAAAACAATACTTTTTTTTTTGTTGTTACTCCTGACTTCTGAAGCAACAGAAATTAGGTGGTTTTTTTTCTTTGTTTTTTTTTTTTTTTTTTAGGGCAGAGTTTAAGAAAGTGTGTGCACAGAGTGAAAATCCAACACACATGGACACATCTACATGGAATTTCTCACCTTCGCCTCTCCTACATCAATAGTGACTGAATATTCGAGCTGCGGGGGCAGAACTCCATCAGTGTTTCTCAGGTAGCGCTGCACGCTGGGCACAGCGTCCTCATCCAGATTTACTTCCCCTTTTTTGGGAAACATTGAAAGGAGCATTTCCACTTCTATCAGCTGGAGCTCCAGACACTCTTTTACTGCGACAGCCATTATGCTGCCCTCCACACACACCTGGAACAAGAGGGATTTAACACAGTTAAAGTTCAGCACCACACCATGCAACCCAACAAGCCGGCCTTCGCTGGGCAACCCCGTTACTTGAGGACAGAGGACGGTTAAGTAACCACAAAGCCCTTAGTAGTTAGTCCCTTACAGGCACGTTCCACACCCAAGATGGAGATGTCTCACCTGGGCCGTGCGTTTGAACACGCCAAGGTACAGCACAGCCGCCACCGGGAGCAGAGGCGAGAGAAGGGGAGCGGAGAGAAGGGGATATGGCTCCTCCTGCCGCCGCCTTCCTGGTGGCGGACGCTGAGGGGACGAAGCACCGTAACCACTCCAGGTCGGTGCCGCCACCTCAGCACCACGGAAGCGGCTCGCATGCGCAGTTAGCGGAGCGGGGCCGGGCCATGCCCGGCTAGGCCCGGTGTCACGGGGAGGTTCGATCTGTTACAGACGAAAACACCCAGTCCTGACGTTAACGGCAGGCTTGCAGTTAACGTTTACAGCTCTCCGGAACGGTTGGGCCGCGGAAGCCGGGAACGCGACAGCACACACGCCTCGTACTGCCCCGACCTCCGCCTCCGGCGCGGACTGAGGAGTGGGCGTGGCCCAAGTGCCACGTAGTGGCAGCGTGTCCGCCCTGCGCGCTGCCATTGGATGGGCGAGGTTTGGGGGCGTGGCCACGCTGTCTGGGGCAGGGGAGAGCGGCAGTGGCGGTAGGACCTGAGTGGTGAGCGGCTCCCGGTGAGGCGGCGGCGGAGGGGGATTCGGTCCCGTTGGGGCCGGGTGGCGGTGCTGGGTGCTCCCCGAAGCCCGCAGCCGTGCAGGGAGGTGGCTGCTGCAGCTGTTTGTGTGGTTATGGTGGCCTATGCCCGGCTGGCTGGCCGTCCCCGGTCTCAGGTGGCTGGGGCAGTGTGGGGTGGAGGCTGTGGTGTTGGCGGGGTGGATTGGTACAGAGTTACCTTAGCAGAGCTGCGATGCTGGTAAAACATCAGTGTTGGGGGGTTCCCTAAGGGAGGACAGGCTGCTTCGGAACTCAGAAGTTAATTACTATATGGAGGGGACATGTTACAGGGGAAATGGCCAGCCCTTTGCTATAGGTTTATTAGGATTCCCGGATCCAGCTAATTGGAAATTGTGGCTCTCCTCGCCTAAATCACATCATCCCTTCGTGATCGGGTGCAGCTGTGTTTATCTAGTGCTGCACTGGGAATGTAGAGGCTCCTTCAAGGATTGGGTTGGTAGTGGTCTGCCTTTCAGTTCCACAAAGGGATTTGATAGGACAAGGGGCAATGGCTTTAAAATGGAGGGTAGATTCATATTAGATATTAGGAAGAAATTCTTTCCAGTGAGGGTGGTGAGTCACTGCCGCAGGTTGCCCAGAGAAGCTGTGGCTGCCCCATCCCTGGCAGTGCTCAAGGCCAGATTGGACTTGGGGCAATCTGGTCTAGTGGAAGGTGTCTCTGCCCATGGCAGGGGGGTTAGAACTACATCGTCTTTGAAGTCCCTTCCAACCCAAACCATTCTGTGATGCGAATGATTTAAGATACCTATGGGCTTTAAAATAAAATAAATTGCAGAATGTGAAACTAATTACAATGTCTTCACTCATTTGCAGCTGTGCTACTTCCTTCTCTAGAAATGGATTGCGAAGCCCTTAAAAAATACTCATCGTTACATCCTAAACCTGCTGGACTTACACTTCAGTATGGCACTGCTGGATTTCGCACCAAGGCCGAACAGCTTGATCACGTAATGTTCCGCATGGGTTTGCTGGCAGTTCTCAGGTCCAAAGCTGTGGCATCTACTATTGGCATCATGGTTACAGCATCTCACAATCCTGAAGTAAGAACAACTTTTCCTTTGAAAAGTTTGTATACTGGGCATGTCGTGCTATGGTTATGGAATACCCCTTTGGCTAGTTTGGGTCAGGTGTCCTGTCTCTGCTTCCTCCTGGCTTCCTGCACCCCTCCTCATTGGCAGAGCATGAGACTGAAAAGTAGCAGAGTACCCGTGACAGGAGTTTAATCTTTGAGCACAATCTGCAAGTTTAAAAATTAAAGAGATGCAGCAGTTACAGATCAGACATTTAGATTTCTGTTGCTGCTGTGGAGCATTTGAGGTTATTAGAATCTCTATGTCAAATCAATTTCATACCAAAATTATGAGGAAAAAGTTGGTATATTAAGTATAATGTGCTGGTTATGTTACTTTGGGGGCCTTGAAGGAGGTTTAAGTAGACAGCTAAGCTATTGCTTCCCAGAAATGCTCCCCATTTAAAGCAGCAATATGATGGAATCACGTGTCAGATGTCTTCAGAGAGATTTTATCAAGTTTCTCCCTTCTAAGCTTACTATCTTTTGTTCTGTTTTCTTCTAAGGAAGATAATGGTGTAAAGCTGGTTGATCCTCTTGGAGAAATGCTGCACCCTTCCTGGGAAGAGTATGCCACACAGCTAGCAAATGCAGAGGAGCACGAATTACAGCAAACAATAACTGCGATCTGCCAAAAAGCAGAAGTGAACCAGCACAAGGATGCTTTGGTTTTTATTGGTAGAGACACCAGGTAATTCAAAATGCCATGGAGGTATGCTGGTTTTATGGGAGTGACGTTTTGTTCGTTGGTGCTTTTGAATGTTCAGTCCTCTGCTGCCAGATTATGCTGCTTTTTTTTCTTTATGCTTATTCTGCTATATGTTAATTTATGATTATAGCAAATAAAAAAAAAGTTTTCCAATGCTGTTCCTGTATCAGCTTCCCTAATAGTTATGACCTAGCAGTGTTTCTGGACAGGATGATTTAGTGTGGGTTTGGGTTATTTTTGATGGGTACAGTGCAACATCCACATCTATTCAGCAGTTTTATTTCCCTTTGTAATTTTCTGGCGTGGTGGCTTTCAAGCTTCTGTATTGGCAGGTGCCTACAATAGGTAAAAGTACAGATTTCTTCATATTAAATCTAAGCCTAGTGGCAGGAAGCTTGTAGAGTCTTCCACATGTGCTTCTTTCCCGAGTTCATACATAAGTGCCTCCTGCAGAGGTTAACTGTTCTGTTTGTTGTTTTCCAGGCCAAGCAGTGAGAAACTTTCACAGTCAGTCATAGATGGTGTCTTCGTTCTAGGTGGTCAGTACCATGGTATGTTAAGCTTTTGCAGTTGTAATCTGATGTAAATTTTATGTAAATGTGACTTGGTTATGCAGACCTAAATCAGTAGCCCAGATGTTATTTCCATTTTTGCTAGTAATGATCTTCTTCCAGGGCAGTTGTATGGCTTTAATGCAAGGAGTGTGTGTGTGGGGGGGTTATTTTATCCTAACAGAACCTGAAAACTTTCATATGGTTTTCCTGCACTGCATTTGTCTGTTTATTGAGAATAGCAAATACTGTGCAACTTTTAAGGAGCAATTAATTTAGTATGCTATTTCTGAATATTGTACATTTTACTTTATGCTAGATTATGGTCTGGTGACAACACCACAGCTACATTACATGGTCTGCTGTCAAAACACCCAAGGGCAGTATGGGAAAGCAACGCTGGAAGGTTACTATGAAAAACTGTCCAAAGCTTTTACAGAACTGATAAAACAGGTGAGTACTGGGTGTTGTCTTCTTCATGCAGATGTTCAAAATCAGTATCTTCTGTCTGTTATCCTGTCTAGATCTGAAGTTTTGAATGCAGCATGCCTCTAGGTGTGGTTTCACTAGGGTATGAGTTCACTTTGCCCCTTCTTCCCTTGTGCTAAGTCTTCCAGCTCTGGAGAGAGTCAGAAGCATCTGAAGATTGACTGTGCTAATGGAATAGGAGCCCTGAAACTATCAGAAATGGAGCCCTACTTTCCAAAGGAGGTGCTAATTCAGCTATATAATGATGGAACCAAGGAGAAACTCAATCACTTATGTGGTGCAGATTTTGTGAAGGTTCACCAGAAACCCCCTAGAGGTACGTAATCAGCAGTTTTATATCCTTTCACCTCCTCTCCAGATCTGAAAGTGCAGGGTCTAGCAACAGTGTATCATCTTTGGGTGCGCTGAGCTCCCTGTTTTCATTAAGTGACCGTACAAATGGTTCTGCTTGTGCAGTGGAAAGAAAGAGGATCATATGCCTGGGTTTGACACATCCCTCCTGAATGGTTTGGAGGAGCACAGTACATCTCTGCCTGGCTTTGTTCAACAATCCAGTCTGAATGTTAATATGGTGGAGGTGGTGACACGTATCTTGGTGCACTCTGTGGTGACTAAATGCATGAGAAAAGGGGTAGGAGTTCTGCTGCTGCAAGGTTTTTAACCTTGTGTCATAACTGATATTCAGCGTTTATTTCCAAAATCTAGAGCTATGACTACACACAGTAGTTCTGGGACTTATTTTCATACACAGCTAGGGAGAAGGTGTAGCATAATAAATATTTAGAGAAGCTGTTTTTTTGGTTTTATTAGTATTTATGTTTTTGATGTGAATATGCACTGTTCAGTTGCATTCAATACAGCATCCCTGTTTCAAGTCTCTTAATAAAAGCTATGTCTGTTTCAGAGCATTAGTTTTGTGTGTGCGTCTGCACAGAGCTGATTTCCACATGAGATCCACACTGGCACTAGTTTAAACATTTTGTATCTTTTTTTTTCTCTCTCTAACTTTCATTTGTAACTCTGTACACTAGGGCTGGACATGAAGCCCAATGAGAGATGCTGTTCATTTGATGGTGATGCAGACAGAATTATTTATTACTATCAGGATGCAACTGGCCTTTTCCACCTAATCGATGGAGATAAAATAGCAACTTTAATTAGTATCTTCCTTAAAGAACTTCTTGCCAAGGTAATTCTAACATAGAAAATTAATGTTGACACTTTAATTTGTAAAGTGTAAAATAGCATAAGGAAGCAGTATGAATTTGTACGTATGTGGTCTCTACCTCTATCTAAAGTGAACCCAGTTCAAAGGGAGATCAGTCTCATTGTTAGGGCCAAACGTTGTTTTTACAAGGGTATGACTTCCATACTCCAAATAAAAATCTGAGCACTGATTTTTTTTCTTTAACCTAGAAGCTTTTCTTAGTGGGAAAGAACTTTTCCAGTTTCAGTGTACTAACTATTGATATTCCATTCTCTTAGTTTTGGTATCTTCCATGTATTTTGGGTTTAGTCCTTCTCTCAGCATTTTTGTGAAGCTTTCAGTTTTTCTGTGGGCATTCCATTTGCATGAGAACTTGGTTGTGGCAGCCAAAGAGTTTGTATGTCCTCATTCCAAAATCCCTATCTGTCATATAGCATCCTTTCCTCACAGGAGATAGAGAGAAAAAGCTTTTCTTTTTCAGAAGTCCTCTTAGACTTGGTGTCTGTGATACGAAACCTAGACAAGGTCTCCTGGGTTTGTGCTCTTGGAGACCAGCTTGTTTCTTATCCTGTGGCAGGGAAGCTGGCCAGTGAGGAAAACTTGTGCTTGCCACCAGCCTTTGCTTGCTTTGCACTGAATGCTTTGATATTACTGCCTCATGCAATGCCAGGTGTGTGGCCAGTGCATTGACCTTGCTGAATCTTTGAAAAGGGGGTTGGAAAGCCTTAAACTGCTTTATGCCATCCACAAAAAAAAAAAAAAAAGTGATATACAAAGACTTGAACATAATTAATTAGTCTTAAACATATAGAAGTTATCTGTGAGCTGGTGTCTTCATTGGTGCCTGTGTCAGTAGGAGAACCTGTGTTTAATGATTCTGATTATCCTTCCATTTATCCTGCTCATCTGGCTATATGCCTATTGGACAGTAAAGCTGTTTGCTTCTTTGTTTGCTCAGGTGGGACAGACTTTAAATATGGCAGTGGTACAGACAGCGTATGCCAATGGGAGTTCCACACGCTATCTTGAGGAAACACTGAAGGTATTCTCCTTTTTTTTTCCTGGTAGTTTTCTGCAGAGGTTATTTACTGCACATTTGTTTACTCCTAAAATAAATGCTACTATAATATGATTGCTAAGATTTAAACTAGGCTAAAATAAATGACTCTTTCAAACCTGCGGAAGTGACTAAGTTCATGGTGGTAAAGGAGACACAACAGAACAACTGAAAAAGCTCTGGTCAGCTTTTACTAGTTAAAAAAGAAAGTTTGGCAAAAGCTGAACAGAATCCCTTGTTACTGCTGGAACAAGTTGAGGACTTTGTAGCAAAGCCATAAAGTGAGTAGTTAAGGGCTCATTGATACTTTGACACTGGTGGTTTAATTTTTTGCAACAGGCTAAATGTGTTTCACTACATAAACTGAATGAAGGTGGTATTTCAGCCTGGATAGAAAATTGGGTATGTTCCCTGAAACCTTAAAATGAATTAAATTTTCTTGTCTTGGGGGTTTGTTTATTAAAAAAAATATCAGCCTTGAATAAGTGAAATCTTTTTAATTGGGTCTGCAGAACTAGGGGATAGTTCTAGCTCTGGGGAGTCAGTACTTGTGAAACACAGGTTGGTTTGTAACAGTCTGTGCTGGGTGGTGCTCAGTTGCCAGCACTTCGCCTGTGGTTCCTGCTTACTGCAGAGAGTCTGTAACATTTACATTTCTCTGCTGCAGGTACCTGTGCACTGTGTTAAAACAGGAGTGAAACACCTGCATCACAAGGCCCAGGAGTTTGATGTTGGTGTTTATTTTGAGGCAAATGGCCATGGAACGGTGAGTACGAGCATTTATAAATGAAATGTCCTGCCCTTATTTGAGAACAGACTTGTTTCCTCGTTCTGTCTTTATCATAGCATTGCCACTGATTCCTCTGTTTTTTTTTTGTGGGGATTGAAATTCATAGTAGCAAACATTAATGACTGTTATTTTGGCTTAAACAGTAAAAGTATGCTGCACATACCCTAGATTGTGATATAGGCTGATCTTGACATGTTGTTATTGTTTAATTCTAGGTGTTATTTAGCAAAGCTGCTGAAACTAAAATAAGACAACTGGCAAAAGAAGAGAAAGACAATGAAAAGAGAGAAGCAGCAAAGATGCTTGAAAACATGATTGACTTGATTAATCAGGTAAAAACTGAGAGAAACAAATCACTGTGGTGGCAGTCATGGGGCTAACACTGGATCAGGCTAACACCAGGGCCTGCTGGTGCAGGGAGGGGGTTGCCATCATACAAGGGGCCAGGAAGAAAAGGGCAGGAACAGTCATCTCTCTTTAGAAAGTTGCAATGCTTTCTCAGTGAGTGTATGTAGAGTGCTTTCAGCTGGTGCAGGCTTCTGACATCACCAACCAAAGAGGGAGCAGGATAACATGGGGTCCCAGTGACAGGATGGGACTTGGTCATAATTTAAGAACAAGTCATCTTTTGTCTGATGTTTTTCACTGAGGGGGCATGGGAGGCTGGGGGTGTTCCAGTGGAGTCCCTGTCTTAGCACAGATGTTATTCATCTGGGGCAGTGCCAGCTTTAATCGTCATGACCCCAGAACAAAGGTGAGGTGCCAGTCCTCCTTAGGAGAGGCAAGGACTAGCACTTGTCCTTGGCATAGCAGTACAAGTTTGCTGCTGTTCTCCTTTTTACTTTGTGGTAAGGAGGAAAAACCAAAACACCCCGCAAACAAACCAACCAAACTACCTCAGCTACCCAGACTGGGACAGGTCAGCCTGGCTGCATTTTCACTCTCTTCAGCTGAGAGGCTACTGCCTTCATTTTTTTGCTGTTGACTGCTTCAGTGTCTCTTCCCTTCCTGTTAACAGACGGTTGGAGATGCTGTGTCAGACATGTTGGTTATCGAAGCAATCCTGGCTTTGAAAGGTCTGACTGTGCAACAGTGGGATGCTGTCTACACTGACCTTCCAAATCGGCTGCTCAAAATTCAGGTGAGTTACATACCATGCTGGCTCAAGTGACAGCAGGCTTTTGGGGCCCTGCCGTGAGCACCTCTTGCCTGCATCTATTTAGATAACCTTTAGTTTAAAGCTGGAACAGCCCGTTAAAAGGGCAGAATGCCAAACAAGCTATGAAACCACCCAGAGGAGGTACCAGAATTTCACTTGGACTAAGATATGAATTGTATGAATGATGAAATAGTGGCCACCTGCGGTAAAGCTATGGTAAATGGAAAAATCTGACCAAAGCTGTTCAAATTTTTACTTAGAATTTTTCTCTGAAGTTTCAGATTAGAAAAATCCTGTTTTTCTAAGGCCCCTACTTCATGGGCAGCTGGATTTTTCTTGCTGTGCCACTTTGTATAATTCAAGTATTGAAGCTCTTCTTTATCGTTGCCAATATTCAGACAAAGAGCATAAGCCAAACGGGTTCCCATGTAGCGGTATTCTGTTGGATGCAGCGAGGGAGCTCTGGGCTCTAAATTAACCAGAGGAGAGAGCTGAAGTTTTCTGATCTAGTGGAAGAAGCTGTAGTTTCAGCTCAGAAGCTGGCCAAGGGGACATGTTCAGAACTGAGCCCTTTTCCAAGCCAAGCAGCTGAGTCCTATCAGGACTTGGTTAATACATGCTCAGCAGAGATCCTAGGGATCCTAAAGTGTTAGTTAGCCCCATATAAGCTCGTCTTCAGGCAGTGCAGTGCATCAATACCTCAAGTTCTGTCTTACCTGTGACCTTTTCATTCTGCTGTCACTGTACAGCTCCAGCACACAAATAAATTGGCTGCTTCTGATGCTGCAGGTTGCAGACAGGAGAGTCATTGACACAACAGATGCAGAACGGCGAGCAGTTACACCCCCAGGACTGCAGGAGAAAATTGATGCCCTTGTAAAGAAGTACAAATTGTCACGAGCATTTGTCCGTCCATCAGGAACAGAAGATGTGGTTCGAATATACGCTGAAGCTGACACACAGGTCAGAGCCTAAACAACTTGTATATGAAATGACGTCAAACAATCTTCCGCTTAGCACTGGGTGATGGAGGAAGTAGTATGTTTACATACTCCTCATCTAATCACACTGAACAGGTGCTAAACTTGGAAAGCAACTTAGTGATCACCAGAAGTCTCTTTGGATTTTCTTTTATTTATAAAAATGATATAAAGAAGAAGTTCTTTACTGTGAGGTGCTGAGGCACTGGCACAGGTTGCCCAAAGAGGTGGTAAATGCTCCATCCCTGGCAGTGCCCAAGGCCAGGCTGGACATAGCCTTGGACAACATGGTTTAGTGCAAGGTGTCCCTGCCCATGGCAGGGGGGTTGGAACTGTATGATCTTAAGGTCCCTTCCAAGCCAAACCATTCTGTGAATCTATGATTCTATATTTAATGTTCTCATTGCTTATCTTTAAAAGTTAAATGTTTAGAAAGATATATTTGGCACTAGATGCTTTGAAAAGAAAATATGCTGAGAACTTGTTTTAGGAGAGTTATGAAAGAAGCCCCAACCACATGATTTCATAAGAGGTGAAATGAAATAAATAAATAAGCAAACTTTGGCTCCTGTTAAGAATTAATCCACATGTGAATTGAAAGTTGGCAGCAAAAGCAGTGTTCCAGCACTTGCATGGAAATGCTGCTGTAATATCACAGATTTGCTCTAAGATCATGCTGACACCAATGTAACCAGCTTCTAAAATGTTCCACAGGAGAATGCGGATGCCCTGGCCCATGAAGTAAGCCTGGCTGTTTACCACCTCGCTGGTGGAAAAGGAGCACCACCCCAGCCCATATAATGAGTGATACAACTGCAGTTAACATTCATTACTTGACTTATTTTTAAATACTCCTTTCTTCACCATTTGCTAGTGTGGACATATAAAACCCTTCCTTAGAGCATCAAGAATTGATCAGAACTGAACAGAATATTCTTTACCTCTATAAGCAACTTACCTCTTAATGAGATGCTGAATGTTTCCCTCCTGCCCTGAGTTTGTCTAACTTCTGAAGCTGGTGACTCCCTTGTTGATAGGCAGGGGCCTAGTTGTGCCTGGAAGGAATTCCACCTCCCACCCATCTTATTTCACAGGTTCATAGGTGTGCCTGACATCCAAATCCCACAAACTCAGAAAGCTGGTGGCAGCTGCGTTTGACTCTGCTTACAGATCCCCACGTTTCCCAGCAACCGAATCATCTAGGGGCAAATGAAGTAAGGCAGAGGCTGGTCCCCCGATTCAGTTTGCCTCAACTCAAGGGGGAACAACATAATGAAAAAGAGCATTTGCAAATAATAATGTGTTACTGGAACAATATCTTCATTAGATACTTTCATGAAATTACAGTATTGCTTAGAATGTAATTAATAGTAATAGTATTTATAATCACATTGAAGACGGAAGGAAGAGACAAGTTTGTCTTCTTTAGGTTAGATATAATGAAATAGATCTTTACTGTGAGGGTGGTGAGGCCCTGGCACAGGTTGCTCAGAGAAGCTGTGGCTGCCCCATCTCTGGCACTGTTCAAAGCCAGGTTGGATGGGGCTTTGAGCAACCTGGTCTAGTGAAAGGTGTCCTTGTCCATGGCAGGGGGGCTGGAACTAAATGATCTTCAAGCGCTTCAACCCAAACGATTCTGTGATTGTGGCCCTTTCTACTTACCAGCAGTGCAAAGGGCTAGGGCCAAGGGGATGCAATATTTTAAATACACACCTACCCTCCTCTGCATATTTCAGTTCAGGGTATCTACCTCTGACAAACAGATTTTTCAGTGTAATCCTGTATTAATTCCTGGCATAATGGCATTTTCCTAAGTAAGCACAAGTTCCAATGGATCAAAAAAGACAAAAATAAACTGGAAACAAATTGAAAAAATGTGCACCTTGTATTTTTTAGGATTTTTTAAAGACAGAACTCAAGACAACAAAACATGTACTGTAAATAGTAGGCACCATAATCAATATGAGCCACCAATATTTAAACTTGATTCAGGCCACATCCAGAACTTCTCTCTTATTTACAAATATTTAACTTAAATACAACATTAAGTATTTCATTACATACAAAGTAAGAAAAGAATACTATACAACTGGGAAAGATACAGTATTTCCTTTAAATAGTTACACTACATATAAGCTGAGCGGTACTGGGTGGGTTCATGTTTTTATGATACCTTCAAGAAAATCCTTCTCCACCATTTCTTCTATCTTTTGTCTTGCTTTGCTGGAGGGCTTAAGGTTCTCCATTTTTATGTCCTTAGTTGGAAAACAGTTGGGGTAAAGGACAGGGCTCCCTGAGTGTCCAACACATCTGCTTGTGACTTTGCTGTTGAAAACCTGGCTGAGTACGTTGAAGAAAGGCAAAAGTTGCTCAATGCTGCGAACAGTGTAGATGGTTAGAAGTAAGTGGCCTGGTTCCCAACTTAGTGCTTTCCCTGAGCTGTCGTCCTCTGGGTTCTTCTGTAAATATAGATAAATGGGAAATAATACAGGACAAAAAAAGCACAGGTAAAAATAACACTGAGTGCGCTGCCTCAGCCCAGGGCTGCCCTTGGCACCTGCCCTGCTACCCCACAAAGATGCTGCCAGTGCAGCTCCTGGTGCTGGCTAATGCCAACAGGCTGAGCTGGCCATAGCCAATGGCTATGTGGGGCTGTGGCTGTGCGGGGAAGTTGTGTCCTCCTGCTGCTGCTTCCCACAGCAGGCTGGTCTCTGATCACTCACACCTCACCCTAGTGCAGCGTTTGTGACAATAAACCCCAGAGGAAGTTAAAACAGAAATGCAGCATTTTCACTTTGAAGCTGGAGTTCAGAGTTTTCAGTATCTTTTAGTAACAGAAATAACACACATGGAGGCTGTGAGAAAACAGAAGTTGTCCTCAGAGGAAAACGGTTCAGTTACTCATTGTGTGTTCTCAGATGACCTCAGTCATACACCTTCCATTTCATGGAGGACTTTCAAGGGAGAGAATTTCAGGAACCCCACCAGCAAAGGCAGCAGTCACACACCAGATGCTCTCAGGCAGTGTCAGCACACTGCTGTGACCCTGTTTAGGGTTGCCCTAAGTATGTGTGAACTAAAATAACTGAGCACTAACATCCAACTTGTAAGTGTACTCTTTCTTCATTTCCTTTTCTTCTTTGAGTCAAAAAAGATATTAAAATCTAGACAATTAGATGCTATCACCACCAGAAACACCTTGTTTGGTCTGTTACTGACACACAAGTTGGGAAAGCTGTTACTGTGAACCAGAGTTCTAGCAATACTGGGTTTTATTCCATGAGGAAGGAGAAAAGAAGCACAAAGGCCATGCCAAGGAGAGCCAAATCCTGATCCACCTCTTCTGAGGAACACATCCAAGGCCCCTACAGGTCCCAGAGAGCAGGCTTTGTATTAGAGTATCTTAACCTGGTGGTTTGGCTCCCTGTCACAGAAGATTACTATTCTTGTTCTATGAGGCCCAGGAAAAGAAAGGCTCACAATGAACTAGAACAAAAGCAAGACTGAATTCCAACACAGAAAGAGCTGTTGATGCCTTCCGCTTTGAATAAAGCTACCAGTTGTCAAAGTTTCTCCTTTAAAAACATCATGTACGACTGAGAAGAAAGGCTTTTCAGGACTTGCTCTCTTACCACGCTTTGTATAACCCAGTGGTGAGCACAGAGTGCCTCCAGCATGCAGTGTCAGTGTTCCACAGCACCAAATGGGCTGCAAATGCAAATACTAATTCTCCCTCTGAACCACAAAATACAATCTGCCCAAGCCATTTCCTCAGGGCAGGATCTGCTAAGCAAACACCACTAACTCCTCAGATACTTGACAGTTATTTTGGCAGAGACCCGTTGGGGATTGTGCTTTTCACACCTGCTATTTGGCAAAAATCAGTATTTAATTTTGCAATGATTTGCACTCATAATTCTCCTTAGAACTAACATCAACTTTTTGTAATCTATTTCACATGGGAAACCAACTTAAAATTTTAGGGTTATCTACAAAATTAAGGGCCCTCACAATTCTCTCACTTCAAATGTCTCTCAACTTTGTCTCCTACCATAAGTCTGATCTCTCTCAGTTCTTACTGAAAGCTAAATACTGCCCAGGGCCTTGAGGTGATGGTAGTTATAATGACAAGCTTGTTTCACAACTCAAGCATCAACGGCCACCCTCACCTGATGCTTGGCCATCTCCATTCCCTCCAAAACCACCGTCTTAAAGTCCTCCTGTTTGTCCTGTGGAAGGAAAGAGGAGAACTTTCAGACTGCATTTCATATATCAAAATCATACTTTGCCGTGAAGGCCGTGTTTTTACTTGGTTGGGTGCTGTGCTTCAGATGGGAAAATCACCTGTCCCCAGAAAGTCCATGTCCCAAAAATGGCAGACTCTGGAGCTTGTGTGGCCAAGACACTGTTTGACAATAACAGCACTACCAGTTTGTTCCTCTGTTTATTGCCAGTAGTGCTGAAGGAGGTTTTTAAGCATGTTTTCTCCAGACAACAGAGCCTGAGCAACACCATACTGCATGAATCTAAGCATTAGACAGAGTGCCCTGAAGGAAAACTAAGACCCACTGGAACATTTTGTTCAGAAAGTTATTTCCAAGAAAAACCTGCAACTATATGTAACAGTATTCTCCTCTACACAAAGAAGAAATGGCCTGGAAGTCAATATTCATTGCCTCATGTTTACCTCCTCATTGTACCCCTCGATATGGTTTACAGTGTTCAACTGCTGCCATGACTAGGGGGTTCCAGGAAATTCTCTGTTATTGAAGCATACTGTGGAAGTCCTGACTTCAGATATCTATCGCAACACACATTACTTACCAGCATGCATATTTTATACATCATATGTAATTTGTAATTCATGCAGAGAGATTGTTTGGGGCGCGACAGCTTTCTAACAGGTGTGACAGCACACTACAGTGAACAGCAGGGATAGAGGCTGTGCCTGATTAGCAGTCAGTTAAATCTGGTTATTCCTTTATATATGTGAGAAGAGAAATTTAGTCCCATCTTCATGGCTCCAAAACAATTAAATGAGTAATGCAGATGTGCTTCAGATACTTGTTTTATCCCCTGTAGTTCTCAGCCTTGCTTGAATAGTTCAGACCTGCCTACAACTGTTATCCCTACATTTTATGTAGCCACTCATATGTCAGTAGTTTCTTTAGTCAGTAAAGACATTCGAGATTGTAAATTCAGTATCTACAGTAAGCTGTCAGTGCTACAGCCCTGAAAATGCAATCTGTTTGGAGGGAAAACCAAGAACGTAGCTTCAAAGCTTTCTCGCATACCGCTTTCAAGCTTCATCCCTGTTTCCCTGCCCACCCAGCAACCTTTGCTGGTAAAGCACCTTGCCCAGAGGGGCTCTGTTCTCGGAGCAGGATCAGCAAAGTAGCTGACAATATTCTGACTCTGTGGCAGCAAAAGAGAACTCCCAGGGACAGGGCTTGGCCAGCTCCTGTCAGGTTCATTACTGCATCAGGCCCCACCCCACAAAAACTAGGGTTTAAAATACCTCATGCACTAACATAATGACAACTCCAATTCCACTCCCACCCTAGAGACTGCAGCCAAGATTCCCCTGGAACCATTTCTACTGTTCTCTGCCTTCACTTCATCATGACTGCTTCAGAGAAGAAACACAGCCCTCCCTGGCCCTGCAGAGTCTCGAAATTCTTGGTTCTGTTATGTTTAGGAATGCAAGTTTTCTGAACGTTTAAATGTAATTATTATTAACAAAACTGCTTTTCTACTTTTAAAGGTTGTTATACTAGTACCCACATATATGACTGGCTATCTGGAAGTGATTTTTGTGTTACATATATTAGACAGTGAAGCATATTTTACTTTTTCTCAAATAATACTAATAATACTTTTAATTGGCAACTCCAAAGACACCAATCATAGTCTTTTATTTGACTATAAAAGGTTTGGGGTCTTTTGGTTGGTTAGTTGGTTTGGGGTTTTTTTGGCTTATGTACTTGGCAGTCCTGAGGCAAGGGTTGGATTTCATGATCTTAAAGGTCTTTTCCAACCTAGCTGATCCTATGATTCTGTGTAATTTTTCCCTGACTTGAGATTACTCCAGTGGGAATCTCTCACACCGGATAAACTCTTTTCCATTCTTCATCGTTTAAGAAAATATCCAAAATGAAGCAGTGCTGTAACTTATTGTACATGAGAGTTTTCAATGAAAAGCAGAACTGGCAGAAAGCAACGCACCTTTGCTTTTTTGCGCAGCAGTTTTGCTAGACGCACCACATATGGTTTGAATTCCCTCTGATGTGTTCCCTGTCTTCGTACTTCCAAGCCTGAATCATCTGATGCTTCCGGAATAAAAGCCCAACGATACCTGTCATAACACAAGCAGACACTACCGTTACTGCACTTGCAGCTTCTTCTTCTAGGTCAAAAAATATGAGTGGATGAGGAAATGTAGTTAAGTATCAAAGAAAAGACTGGAGTGGTGGGGGAAGGTGCAGGGGAAAGACACACACATGAGCAAAACCCATCCCCACAAGAAAATCTGACAAGAAAGGAGAGGCACATTCTGAAAAAGGGGGAGATG